GTTTCGTTCACAATAATATTGTTGTATTAGTTTTTTACCATAACTTATGTTATACACTGATGTTTCAGATTATGATTTAGGAACAGATAGATCTGAAATTGATTCAGAAGAAATTAAAGGTACAACAGCTTTTATGTCCTAATGTAGGCTAACAAGAAAAATTGTAGTTTTTTTTTTTTTTTTTTTTTGTTTTGTTTTGTTTTGTTTTTTTAACATTAGCTTGAGTATGAGCTGTGGAAGAATGGTGTAACTGCCTATGGAAGGGTGTAAGGATTTTACTTTCAGATCATCAAACATTAAAATGCTATTATCCACTGAAAGAATTTATCATGCGTATATAAGAATTCTTTTTGATCAGCTGGATTACTTATATTTCATTATGAAATATCATGTGGGTCAAGGAATCAATGTTGTTGGAGTGCTATCAAAAATATCTGAAGATGAAGGAAGAAGAAGCAAATAAAGCATTAACTATAATCCAAAATATGCTCTTTAAATTGATTAGAATTTGTAAACATATATCAACAGTTTGAAGCTTTAATTAAACCACATACAATGTTCAAAATGTAAGTTTTTAAGAAAACATAAAAGACAAGTAAATCAAGTTAGAAATGAATAGCTGTAGTTTGATGATTATATCATGTAGGGTCTACTTCAAAATTGTTTCTGAAATGCTACATACTAGAGTATTTTATGCTTCATATGAAAGTCACAAAGGAATTTCTCATACTAAATGGTAAACTTGAAATATATTTTGTTAGCCAGGATGAATAATAATTTTACTAAAGGCTGTTCTCAGTTAATACTGTATGATTCGGAAACATCATATGCTCATACAGATATTTATGTCAATAAACTCATGCAAAATTTTTATAAGGTGTTAAATTACCAAATCGTACATAAGATAAGCTCCTTGTATTTCTATTTATGCTGTTACCTTAGTTGATTATTATAGTAAATGGCCTGAAAATGAACATGATAAAATTTCAGCTGACAAAGAAGGTCAAATTATGAAGAAATATGTGAGAGTGAAAACAGATGTTGAAATGTGCAGGTAAAGATCAACATTTACAACCTGGAGATAATATCCAAATTTGTAAACCATGAAGAATTTTTATAACAAAAAATAAGTATTTGGATTCCAAACAATACAGGATGACAAAAATTGTCATATCTTCTTATTTGATAATGTATGAAATAAATTGAATTCAATTTGGTATGTAACTTTTGCTAAGTCCTTCAATTAACGATGTTGTGTTTTAGCTTAGAAGTATTTGTGTGAAAAATGTGAAAATTCTTGCCTTTTGCATTGCTTTAATTATTATGATGCTTGTTGATGACTTGAAAGAACACACATTAAATAAACCTATGGTCTTGCTTAATAGAATAATACTCAGGCAACAAAATCCTTCATGCTGAGTTATCTTTGAAGTAGGGGCATGTAAAATAATACTGTAAAGAAACGATCACATAGTAATTGACTGATCTTTATTCTGCTATATGGCAGCACATAACAGCTTTGCCAAAATAAGAAAGTCTGATAAAGTAAGAACTATCATCTCAATCCTAAATGGATCAAGACTTAAGTGTTACACCATGATTTTTTATCATGAGTAAATTTTGAAGGATAATTCCAAACATTGTTTTATGACTGAAATGCTAAGAAACTAGACAAAATAAACTTTGATTATGGTATGGTGGATATCTGCAAACATCATCTAACACTTTTTTGAAGGTGTTACGCCTTTCACAAACACTGTAAAGATTTGTGCAAATGCATGAAAAATTGCAGGTATAATGCCTACGATTTATTTAATAGATATGATGTCTTATTACCATAAACAATGTCCAACTATATATTTTGTGACATAAATTATAATTAAAAGAAGTAGAAATAAAATAATAATAGTTTACGAAAGAAATTTAGCCAATTTTAATATTGCTTTGTCACACCTGACTTACCTTTCGGGTTTTTCATGATTATAATTTTCTGAAATTCTCTTAAAAAGGAATCTTGATAACGCTTTGATAAATAATCTGAGCCATTTACAGTTTACTTCCCAAAGCCTGTTCTTCTCTTTAAAAAAAAAAAAAAGAAAGAAAGAAAATCTAATAAAATAAAATGCCATGAACATTTTTGTAGAAAAATATTCAATGTGTATTGATGCTGATGGCAATTATTTTTATTGATCAGGTACATTGCAGGTTTGGTTCTTCAGTGACCAAAAAATAAAAAATGAACACATAGTTTATGCAGTTTATTTTAAATTTATAACATCTTTTTTTTACACAGTATTACATGTTTTGCCCACTATAGATAAATTAACATATCTTTTGTTACACTTATATATGTTTTAAAATATTAGTTACTATAAAATAAATTATGTAATGTATGCAACTTATTTTAAATTAATGATAATATTTATTTAACATTGTAAAGAACCTTTTTCTAAAGAAAGATGAAATATAGTTTGTAAAATGAATAATTTTCTAATATATTTTCATTTAATGTAGTTATAGCCTTAGAAATGTATTATGTTTGTATAATTTTGAATTTAGAACTTGTACAGTACAAAGTCCATAATCCGGACATTCATTATCCGGAATGATCTATAATCCGGACCTCAAAGCCACAAACTTACACATGGCGTAAAACGTTTACCCATGCGGGCTTCCGATAGTGAAGAAAGTGACAGAGAGGTTATTGAAAACGAAAAAATTTTGATTGACAAGTTAGTCGGTATTCTCAACACAGCAACTACAGGACTTGAACAGCAGAACTTTGTAACGGAACAAGAAATTATGTCTGTTTAGAGAATTAAAGAGAAAGTATTAGCACAAAAAAAACGAAGCAACTTAACAACTTGCATTGAAAGAAATGTCTAATAAAGTAAACAAATAAATATTAAGTGCTGTTTTTTTTTTTTTTTTTTTTTTTTTTTTTTTTTTTTTGTGTGTGTGTGTGTGTGTGTGTGTGTGTGTGTAAATTTTGATACCTTTAGATCATAATTGGTCATCATCTTTACTTAATAAATTACGGTTTCATATTTTAATTGTATAATTTCTGCATGCCATCTTACCAGATTGATGATCTATAATCCGAAATCGAAGTCCCGACGAGTCCGGGTTACAGACTTTGTACTGTATTTGACAAAAATTCATACATTTGTTGAACTTTATTCAAAAATTTAATGTGTAGTAAAATTAAATTAAGTTTTCAGAAATTTTTATAATATTTTTCCATGGTCATATTGTGAATTGAATGTATGTGAGTCTCATAAAAATGTAATTTTTATCTTATTTTATAAAGAAAAGGCATTTGAACTTTTGAAACTGAAGACATGATATTTTTTTCATTATGAGCAGACAATCTTTATTTTAAACAGAAGCATTTTCAACTAGCAGTATACTTTCTTTCGGAATAAACTAATAGGACAAAAATAAATAAATATAATAACTAATAGGACAGAAATTATTATTTTTGTTTATTAATATTAAATATGAAAGGATTCAAAGAGATATTCCAGAAAAATTAGTTGCATTTGTGGCTTTGAAGGAAGATACAAATTAAAGATGACCTTACAGACCTTACGTTTAAAAGATGACCTTACAGAACAACTTGAGCTCAAGAATAGAGGGACAGAGAGATGCATTAGCAGGCATCCTGTTTAATACTGCACTCAGAAAAGTTATTAGAGATTCTAGGATCAATACTAGAGGAAATATTTTAATAAGACTGTTCAATTATTGCCTTATGCAGATGGTATTTTCATCGTTGCCCATACTTTTCCTCCTCTTAGACATTCATGGCATTGTGGAAAAGTCCAAAAAGATTTAACTTATCTATTAATGAAAATAAAACTAAATATATTAAGATCTGACTTAGCCACTTATTCATTTAGAAATTTGTAGGTTTAGATTTGAAAAAGTCTACAATTTCACTTTTGTTGGAGTAGAAATGAATTGAGAAAATTTCTGAAATACTTAACAAAATCTCTGCTGTAAATAGTTTTCGTGGCCTGAAGAGCTATTTAAAATCCAGTTTTCTCAAGTTAAGAACTAAATTACTTCTTTACAAGTGTCAGATCTGTCCTCACTTCTACATTGGGAGCTTGGGCACTGACTTTACATGATGAGGAAGCTTTGGGAATTTTTAAGAAAAGGATTTTGCATTGAATACTTGATGGAGTCTATGTTAATGGATCATGAAAAAGATCTAATTTAGAGCTATACAAGATCTATAGAAAGCCTGGTGTTTTAAAGTTCTTTAAACTACAGAGACATAAACGGACCGGTCATCTGGTCAGAATGCATGAAGATTACCACACCTCAAGATAGACACCTGTTAAGAGGGATCAGTTATGTTGAAAATGACCTAAACATTCTAAAGGTCAAAACTGGAAAACAGTTGCCAAAAGCCAAGATGCCTGAAGAAAACTTCCTGAGAAGGCCAAGAAGAAGTGAGAGGCCTGCACTGAGAGGAAGAAAGAGAGGCCTGTAAATAAGCAAATACATTATTTGTCACTAAAACTCAATAATAAATTATAAAGAAATTTCACTTACCTGTCAGACGCATTCTCGCCTTTTATCATATGGAAGTACATATAAACTTTAGTTAGTGTTTCGCGTTCGTGTTACATCTTTCACAATCCTCAAGGTTCTGCACGAGTCCAAGGAATTCAAGCGCACACAGCGATATCTGGTCCAATACAGTTTCTACAAGGCCTACATTGAGAGGAAGGAGTGTTCAGTATTGGAACTCTGTAGGCCCTGTGAATCAACTTTATAAATGTGTATGCATTTATATATCGCATGTAAAAATCTCTCTCTTTTTTTTTTTTTTTTAATTATATGAAGTTGAATTTCACTGTTCGGATAAAATTTTATTGCATTATATGGTACTAAAATTAAGTAACTCAGTTGTGAAAATGCTTTCTGCTTTTTCTAAAGTATATCCCTTTTTCATGAATAAACCTTTTGAGAAAACTATTTTATTATAGGTTGAACTGGAATTTCCATAGTGTGCTCATCTAAAGAACTTGGTAAAATAAATATTCTAAAGCCACTATTGCTGCACTAATGTCACATTAAAAACAAAGCTTTAACTTCTGGGTAGACCATTAGTTGTTGGTACTTCTCCTATTTTGTTCAAGTGAACCTAAATTATTGCATTGGTTTTGTAGTTTGGAATTAAACTTGAAAAATTTACTAGTTTTTTTAACTTATTTTTAAATTCTAAATGTAGCAGGTATTTTATACTCACCTTATTATTTTTTATGATAGGTGAAGTACCTTCTGATTGCTTGCCTGTGACTCATAAATTTTAAAATCACAGAAGTTAAGAATTTAAAAAAAAAATAATTCAATGGATGAATCTGAGAAAGTAGAAACTTTTGAATGCATTTTGTTATGCTTGCATTTTTGCTTGAATTATTCTTTATTTTGCCTTAAATTTCTAGGCTTTAAATGTACATATAAAAATCTTCAGATAGCACGAAATTTTATTTTAAGCTGATTATGCCTTATTTTTGTTTTTCCAGTTGAGTATTGCAACGATGCAGCTGAATAAAGAGTTAAAAATGTTAGTATCTCTGGTTTTTATTTTGCACTTTTTAAAAAAAATTTCTGATTTTTTTCTTTCTTTTATTTATTAATTTTTATATTTTTGTTTCCTTTTTTGCCCTTCTTATTGCATCTTTTTCTTGTTATTAACTGAAATAATTTACATACCAACTCAGTACATATGGTAAATGTGTATTTTCATAACCATGGTAATAAGTTTGAATGTATTTCAATTAACTGCAATTTTTAAAATCATGTAGTAAGTAATAATAACAGTATGAAGACATGGAGTTAATTATGAATTACTGTAATGCACTTTATATACAGCTCTTAGGGAAAACAAAAGTTTTCTGGAAGTAGTCTCACAAAATATTCCGATATTCATGATCATGTCAATATTATATAATGTGATAAAAATATGAAGATATATGATCAGTAAAATGTTATAAAACATATTTATTCTTTATTATGCTTTGTACTTGAGCTACTGTACACTACGAAAAAAAAAAGGGGGGGCGGACAGTTTTATATCTCTTCTACTGAGTCAATCGAAAAAATTTAACTTGCGTTTCTCATGACTCGGAAGGCCGACTTATGATATGTATTAGATTTATATGTAGCATTGTTCTAATATAGGTATTTTGACACAAAATTAGGCTTTTTGGAAATAACATACCATTATTTTTTTACATATTTCGATTCTACGACTCAAATTACGGCAAACTTCCAAGTTTTGTAAAAAATCACACGAGTAGTTTTTAAAAAATTAGTTCTCAAAATTTTAGCTCCTCAATGTTAATTGAGTGTGGTATAAATTTATAAATCTCTCTTTTTTTATTGAACTTATTTGATTCTTCCTTTCTCATTTCAAAATTCAGGTTCGTTCCAAATAAAATTTACCCATTTTTTATGATTTATTTTTAAAATTTGTATTTTTAAATAATTTTTATAATTTTTTCAAAAAAAAATTTGCATTATAATCTATAAACATTTTATCATCATCTTAAAGAAGACTTATTTCTAAGCATGCCTGCAAAAAAATACAGTTTTTTTTATTCCAAATTTCCAAAGATCTATGTGAATTTATATATTGGTGCATTTTGAAATTTGGCATATTTGAAATTTGGCATATATGAAAGCGATAAAACATCAAATGTAGCAGGTATACTAATATCTATCCTAAGTCGCGCTTTCTAGACATGAAAAACACGCAATTTGAATTTTGTCAGTCGATCCAGTATAACAAGAGATATACGAGGGTAAGTTGGAAAAATAAGTTTCCCCTGTCGACTGTGGTCAGAGTTGTGTATGAAAGTCAAAAAGTAGAATGAGACATTAAAGATATGAAATACCTTTATTTTTCCACATAGGTACCAAGTACATTGAGAAATTTGTCATATCGCTTGATAAGCTTCAAAAAGCCCTCCAGGAAAAAAAAAAAAATCAGGGCTTTGCATATGAAGAGCGTGAACAGCTTGTTTCACTTCAGTATTTGCTTCCAAAGGGCCTTCCCCCGAGATTTTTCTTCAAAGCCAAAAACAAATGGAAGTCGCTTGGTGCGAGATCAGGACTGTATGGCAGATGGTGTAGGCGCTCCCAACCAAGAGTTGCAATATGGTTTTGCATTGCCGTAGCCGAATGTGGTCTGGCATTGTCATCCAACAGCAGAACGCCAGATGTGAGAAGGCCAGGCCGCTTTTTCCGAATCGCCTCTTGCAATTTCGACAGAGTGTCACAGTAGCGGGGAGCATTGATGGTTCCAACCTCGAAAAAGTCCAGTAACAAAACTCCTTAGGCGTCCAAGAAAACTGTGAAGAGCACTTTACCTGCAGAGGGAGTTGTCTTGAACTTCTTTCGGACAGGTGATGACAGATGTTTCCACTCCATAGATGCGGCCTTCGATTCTGGCGTGAAATGGTGGACCCACAGTTCATCCCCCGTCACAATCCGAAACAGAAAGTCATTGCCATCTTCATGGTAACGCACGAGATTTTCCAGGCTGACCCCCATGCGTTGTTCCCTGTGTGTCGAGGTCAATTGTCGGGGCACACATCGTGCTGACACTTTTCTGTATCAAAGAATGTCGTGGGATGGTTGTTTGAGCTCGCTCATGTGAGATTCCAAGTTCTTCCGCTACTTTCATCGCTGGTGATACGCCGGTTCGCTCTAATCATGTCATCCACCTTCCTGACATTTGCATCTGTAGTGGGCCGTGCGCATCCGTCCGGCTCTCAGTATGTCCTCCACTTGCTGAAGTCCATCACTGAATGTGTGACACCATCTCTGCCATTTGCTTCGACATCACACCTGGCCCATAGACTTCCACGAGGCGGTAGAATTTGTTCCTGATACTCACGTGCCCATTCATAGCGGATAACCGCTCTCACTTCCTCCTTGACACGATTTCAAAAAGCACCTTCTCTCCATACCATACCGCCTTTCGCCCATAGTCGTTCAACGATGCAAGCCCTGATTTTTTCCTGGAGGGCTTTTGAAGCTTATCAAGCGATATGACAAATGTCTCAATGTACTTGTCACCTATGTGGAAAAATAAAGGTATGTCATATCTTTAATGTCTCATTCTATTTTTTGACTTTCATACACAACTCTGACCACAGTCGACAGGGGAAACTTATTTTTCAACTTACCTACGTAGAACTGCCCCCCCCTCTTTTCTTTTCTTCTTTTTTTTTTTTTTTTTTTTTTTTTCCCATAGTGTACAGTGACGATGTTAAGTTGTATAAGCAACTATTTGTAACTATATTATAAAATATAGTTATCCACAATTTCTAATTTTGCTTTATATTGTGCTTAATGTGTAGTGATAATGTAAATCAAAATTTTCTGTCAAAAATTATTCTATATTCTTCAGTTTCTGAAATATAATTTAGCATGCGTCTTTTTCTATTACTTCTAGTGACAGAATTTATGAAGTAAAATGCCAGAAACAATTTGTATACATAGTATACTGTTCATTATAGATTATACTCGTGTCCAGTATTTCATCTTGTGCATAATGCTCGAAAATATAGGTTTCATGAAATTGTTTAAATTGAAGATGGTAAGGTTTCAGCTTGTAATAATTCTTTAAAAGGAATCTGTTTGCAAGGATTTTTTGTATCAAAATAAGCTTGCACCTTTGTAAAATTAAAGAGAATTTATATATTCAAAATATGCCTATATATTCAGACTAGGCCTAGTACTGTAGTTTGTTTTTGTCTTTTTTGTGTACTAATTCAGAAGTCAAACAACAAAAATCAGAAAACAAAATTTACAAACTACACAAAAAAAAACAAAATTTTTTGTGTAGTTTGTCAAGAAAATAACTTAATGCCAGCTATTTTATTTTAAAGTGATTAAGTGTATTTCATAGAGTTCTGTTGCTTTTCTAAGCTAATTTTAGTAATTTATATGTAAAGGCATACTTTATCAAGCCAAAAAAAGAGGTTTATTTGTAGTTTTTATTTCTATTACCAATTTTCTTCTTATTTTTTGGGTTTATTCTACTGATGAACTCTTATATTAATATTGATTTCAATTAGTTGCAATGTGGACCTTTTTCCATGGTTGCAATTATTAATAAGAAATTGCCTTATCTTGATTCCAAATTAATTTTATTTTTTATTTTGGATGTTTTATGTTTATATATATATGCATAACTCTTAAGGAAATTAAAAAGGAATTCTTAAAATAAAGTTTTTTTAAAAGCAAAGAAATGGATCTACACAAATACGGCTAGATCGAAATTAATACAATTAATAAAATTAAAAGGAAAAGTCGGGACACTAAGCTAGATTATAATTTCTTCCCTATGAAGGTCCTAACCAATTCTTCTATTGAACAAAGGAGATAGTTTTTTTGTTCTATATTGTTTTATTTTCAATTTTTTTATACGTATTTGAAGTTTTTTAATTTTACATGTACTCCTTTTGGGTTGTGACTGTTATTGAGGAAGAATTGGTTAGAACCTTCATAGGGAAGAAATTATAATCTATCTTATTGCCCAGACTTTTCCTTTTAATTTTATTAATTATATATGTGCTTGTGTGTATTTTTTAATAAAATGATTAACATTTTTTACATCTTCAGAAGCTTTGTTTGACTTATCTTGACACTGATTTTTACATACATGTAACTTCAATATTGTGCAAAGTGTGCAGCAGTTATTTATTATGTTCTTCATCATCTGTTTAAGCGCTGATAAATAATTGAAATGATTACAAGTAAATGTGCTTGAAAAAAATTACCATTTTTGATTTTCTGAATTCTTCTTCTGCTGTGTATAAGTATAGGAATGAATAGAGTAATAAAATAAAAATAGACATGTGCTACAAAAAATGGAAATATGCTAAAGTAACGGAAGAGGAGAAAGTAATTTAAAAACAAAAGGAAGAATTATACAGGATTTTATGTGAAGCAACTGAATTTTAAGGGTTAATAATTTTAAGGGTAATGCAAGTATTGCATAAAGATCAGAGCAAATTTTAACTTTAAATTTACGATGTATTTGTAATTTCTGAATTGATAATTATTTCATCAAACTAAGTTAATATATTATTTTAAATAATATATACTATCAAATACTTAAAATGTCTCATTGAAAAATTAATTAAAATATTTACTGTTAAAAATTGTTTTTAAGTTGCATATTAAAAACTATTTTGCATGTAATTTAAATAGTGTACAAAATGTAAAATACTTTAGTATTCCAAAAAGTATAGTGAGAGAAAGTTAGTTCTCTGGAATGCCGTCTTCATTTATTTTATGTTTTTAGGGTACCCCCAAAATAGAGGGAGAGCTTGGACTTGCTGGGCGACTTACAGAATTTCCGAACTCCAGAGTTCGAATCCCTGGACCATCTGGAGATTTTGTATGATCCATAATAATAATTTATCTGTGTACTTTTCTCAGAGCCCTCTCTGATGATTTGTGTGTCTTCAATTCACGCTCCATTTACTGAGACAATTATATGTGAAACAGTGGTTTTTGCACATGGGTCATTAGCACTTTGATCAACCAAAATATTTATGTTTAGATTATATGTAATCCTAAGTATAATTTTCTGAAAAAATAAGAGTTTTCATTTTTATTCATTGGGGGGGGGGCTATAAAACTTGTAGTTCAATTTCATAAAAGAGTATGTTATAAACATTTCTGATTATTTGCTCTAGTAAAATTAGAAATATCAAAAATCTTTTTCTCAGAGTGTTATATGTTTTCTATGTCTGTTACGTAAATTTTTTATAAAAACTTTTGTGTTGTTCTTTGTATTAAATTAATTGTTTGTCTAGATTTGAGACCAAATTATGCAGCTTATTATAAAGGCTGTAAAATAATTCCATTTGCAGTAAATAGTTTTGATTCATTAGCTATGTCACATTACATTTTTTAAGGAAGAATTTTCTATAGTTTCTCACTTCCATCTACTGTTGCATAATAATTCACATCATACTGTAATTTAATGCCTTGGAGTTTGAACTGTAAATGTTTTGCATTCTTTTATCACATTCTTATAGTCATGATGAAAGTTAAAAATGGAGAAAAACAAGGCTGTCGTCCTACTTATTTTTTGATTGCTGTGATAATAACTCTTACACAAAAGGCCATTTTTTTACTTGTCTAAAGTACTAATTTTATATAATTTTTGTATCCAAAAGCAATTGCGTATTTCAGCACTGTTTTACAAAATTCAGTAATCTAATATTTGTGACAGCAGCCTTGTTATATTTATGGCCTGTGTGTGTCTATTACAAAAATGTTATTTGAAATCATTGATTGCTTTTTGTAGTGTGAGGTGCAGATGCTTGTTTGATGAGAATGGATGTATGTTGCAAAACTTATTTATATCTGGTATGGACTTAAAACCAGACACTTATGAGATATTTATTATAGAAATATGGTGATACTTATTAGAATTATGCATCCTTAAAATATTTATTGAATTTATAGGTTATGTTTTCTGCATTAATTTAATTAAGAAATTCAAGCATGTATGCCTTCATTTAAAGGGGGTATCTGGCATATGCAAATAGTGTCATGTAGCTCAAAATATATTATTTTTGATTTAACTTATTCTTTACAATTTAATTATATAATTTTAGATTTTTTTCATTGGAGTTATTTACAACATAAAAACTGTAATCTCAGGGTCAGATGTATATTTAATTCTCTTTAAATGTTACATGACTTTCTTAGTTTATATGTATGTAACTTGCTCTTGTAGAGTCAAAGCTTCTGTGCTGCTAAAATAATTGTTTTGTTTAAAGCTCTACTTAGTGGATAAATCCATTTATTAATTAATGTTATTATCGAAATTAAATATAAAAGCAGAAGCAAATAGCATTGTATCTGCAATTTATTGAGTGCCAAAACTTTGAGAGAATGCAGTGTTTGCAAAAATGAAGAGCAAAGAAGCACACTTAAAAAGAAAGAACTATTCTAAGAACTAAGAAAGAACTTTTAAAAATTAATACACAAATTTCGTTTATAAATGAAGGATTGCTGAAATATGATGTTAATATTCAATATTTGAAAAAGTTCATAATTCTGCCTTTCAGTTTTACATTAATATATTTTGATATTTCAGATACTTTTGTTTAATGTTAAGCTTAAAATTTGTTCTTTTAAACTGTGAAAATTGGATGATAAAAGAAATTTTAGAAATTTCTGTTTTAGACATTTGATGTTTTAATGTTATTTATCTCTTTTCATTTGTCAGCGATCCCCCAGTTTTAATCTCTGTTTTAGATTTTCGTGTTGAAGTGATGTTTTTTACCCCATATCATATTTCCTTATTAACCTCCAAACATGTTAACATTTTGGCAGAGTAGGCCATTAAATTCAGACTTTGTTATTTATTTTCTCTGTGGTGTATAAATATGTATATAGATATGTATGTATGTATGTATGTATGTATGTATGTATGTATAAGAAAAATAATTCATTTGAATTTAGCAGTATTAATTCAAATGAGAGAAATGATTAAAATATCCAAAGATTATATCTGTAGTTAATTAGATGGGCCATCTGGTTTGTACTCTAGTCATTGTTTAGAAAAAGGTTTGCACCTTGCACTGCAAGCCACAAAGATGTAACTGCTCACCTTAAGAAACCATAAAGATTTTTCATTTTGTGTTTATAATCATTTATTTTTAAATCATTAGAATTTACAAGCTCGTTATTTTGTATTGCATAAAAAAACAAGTCTTCAGAATTAAATTTTTTGCTTTAACTGAGCATGTATGTGACACATAAATTTTTATAATTAACACTCATGAACATAAATTAGGAGTGCAAAAAGAAAATAAAATATTATAATTTTTTTACGTAATTTTTCTACTATGTTTATTTACATACGATTATATTATCTATCTTTATTAAAAATGCATCTGTATTCACTCTGCATAAAAAAATTCCACACATCTATAAAATTTGCTATAAAAATCATGTTGAACACATGCCTAAATGATAAACTTACTCCTCACTTGATATGATCTGTAAGGAGACAAAAAGAAAAATGATTAAAATAGGATGGAACTAATTGTTAATATTCATGAGAATATTAATGATATATTTGTAAACTTATTAATTTCTCATTGGAATTTCTTTCCACATACCAAATGTAACTGAATTATAAATAAAGGCACCAGTAGATCAGAAAAGAATATCATGGAAATATTAAATTTACCTGATGCAAATATTAAATATATATCCAAGCAGATCTAATTCATTAAAGTGATTTAAAGGAATTGTTAAGGTCCATTATCTGAATATATAGGACTTTAACGAAAGTTTCCCACCGCCGCAAATATCATCTGCGGAAACTGTTTGCATTTGTGTGTTTAATCATATTTTGTCAACCGATTTTTTGCGTTTGAAAGAGGCCTTCTTTAGAACATTGTGTTGTGAAATTTGGAAACAAATCGTTATCATTAAATACAAGGTGTCTTAAATGGAACTATCACGCTACCAGATGAGAACCATCATTTACTTCCAGTTCTGTTGCAAAAAGTCAGCTACAGAATGTCACCAAATCCTGTGTAGAGCTGTAGGTACAAATGTTGTATCATATGGTACTGTGAAGGTTTTGTTCTGAAAGTTCAGAAACAAGGACATTCAAGAAGCAGAGTGCTCTGGCTGGCCTGCGAGAACCTGTGAAAGAAGGTCAGTATGCAACCACTCGAGAGCTTGCTAAGGAGTGAGACGTTAGTGCCATGTCCATTAGTCACGCTATGCATCACATAAACTTGATGTGTAAGTTCAATTTCTAGGTGCCGCATGAGCTGACTCAAGCAGATACAGACAGACATTGTTGGGACCTGCATTAATATGCTCGAATATCAACACATGGACAAAATTCTGGACCGAATCGTCACTTATGATGAAACAACAACACAAGCCGAAAATGGCGTTGGTCTGCCCTCCCCGGCAGCGGCGCAAATCGGAGTTTGACTGACTAAAGATCATGCTTTGTATCTGGTGGGATTGTCGTGGTATTATCCACAAAGAATATCTGGGAAAAGGTAAAAACCCTCGGCAGCAAGGTGTACAGCGAGATGCTAGTCCGTGCTGACGTTGCTATCAAGGAAAAACGTCGAACTGAGTTCGGGTGCAAAAAGGTAATATTGCATCAAGATACTGCAAAGACCGCATGTCTCTGCATTCACCAGCTGGACTCTATTAAACTGAAATGGAATATTTTGCAATGCACACCATATAGCCCCAGCATCGCTCCTTCGGACATCTACCTTTTTTCTCACCTGCAGCTATATCTTGCTGGTGCTTTCTTTCCTTCTGCATAGGTTGATCTGGTTTGAAAATGAGGTTGATCTGTTTTTGGACTCGTGGCCACCACGTTTCTGGACCGAAGGCTTTGAAAAGCTACCAAAGTATTGGCAGAAAATGATAGATTTGGGTGGTGATTACTATCTGCACTAAAGATACTGCTTTCATGATTCTTGATTCTTCTGTTGATTTGTTTTTGCATAGAGTTTAGTTCGTGTTTGAGTTGTGTATCCCTGGTGGTTTGCCATCTTTTACGGATCTGGTTTTTCTCTTTAATGCTATTTCTTATATCGGCAGGCAGGAGGAGGAAAGGCTTGTTCACATAAAAAGTATTGGTGGCTTCCTTTAAGTTAATATTAAAGAACCTTGTATACAGCTTCGGTGCGATTTGCGTAGAGGCCTAGAGGCTATTCAGACAAAGTCCTTGATTCAGACCATCGGTTCGATTAGCCACTGCGGCACCTACCCGTGACCTTCTCCCTCTCGAAGGTCACGAACTACCACGCTACGCGTCTCAGGACCCATAGTCAAGCATTCCTCTACCTGAAGCGCCAGTTTTGATGACAGCCGGAACGCGTTGTGCGAAATTGCACAATAATCGCAGCTTGCGACGACACTTTGAACTTGGATCATATTAGAAATGGACGAAACATACATATTTATCAATACGAACGTAAGGCTGAGAAAATGTTTCAAAGAAAAGTTATTACGCCGTTCGTTTCCGTACATGTATTCAAAGACTAAGCTCAATGCATTAAAATTTGCTCTTTTGTTAAAGTGGTTTCTGTAATTTTGTTTATTAGCTTATCTAGCTTAAACCTAAATACTTTTAGCTAAATTATGAAAAAATAATTGAAAACATTCTAAATTTCAGGCTAGAATATCCATTGAATCTTCTATCGAAATTAAAAAATTTTTCCTGTGGTTTAAAGTTCGTCTAGATCAGAGACTTTTACGTAATATACCGTATTTACGCGAATGTAATGCGCATCGTTTTTGGCCAAATGTAATATTCAAAATTGGGGTGCGCATTAGATTCGAGTGCAAAGTTCGCCGATGACGTCAACCAAAAATTTAAATCTAACAATGGATTACTGTATTTCTCGACTACATTTACCGTTACATTTATCGTTGACACATTATTGCATAGAGGATACAAACTGCAGCAGAGTACGTAGTCACGAAATGGAGGGCAAACAGAGAAGAATGTCATATGACGCTACTTTCAAACGTAAAGTAATTCTTTATGCTGAAAAAAATGGCAATAGAAAGGCAGGGGAGAGTTCAACGTAGCTGAGAGCAATGTTCGCTTGTGGCGGCAACAGAAATTGGCACTGTTTGCAACTAAAGCTAGTAGAAAGAAAAATTCACTGGCCCTCGCAAAGGAGAGAACCCTAAAATTGAAGAAAAGTTTTGGAATTTGTACGTGAAAGGAGGAAGAATGGACAACCTGTGACTAGTGACACCATAAGAAATAAAGCAAAAGAGGAGGCTGAAGTTCTTGGAATACCGAAACAAGAGTTTAAGGCTAGCCGTGGATGGGTGGATCGGTTTATGAAGCGGATGGGTTTATCTCTAAGACGCCGTACAACAATATGCCAAAAGCTTCCTGCAGATTTTGAGGGAAAACTACTAACATTTCAGCGGTATGTCATCACACTTCGGAAGGAAAAAGAATTTTTCAATGGGGCAAATTGGCAACGCTGACGAGACGGCCAATTTGGTTTGATATGCCTCGTAACTACACCATTACGGAGAAGGGGGGACTAAGGAAGTTATCATCAAAACTTCGGGATGTGAAAAACAACGCGTAACAGTGATGCTGGCAATAACAGCAGACGGGTGCAAACTTCCCCCTTTCTTAATCTTCAAACGGAAAACATGCCCTAAAAACCCTAAGAATGAAAAGCTGTTCCCAGATGATGTCCTGATTCGAAACCAAGAGAAGGGGTGGATGACGGAATCATTAATGCTCGGATTGGCTCCGAAATGTATGGAAACGCCGTCCCGGTGGGCTCTCTAATCCACCATCAATGCTTTGTCTGGACGCATTTCGTGGTCATCTGACCGACGACGTAAAAAAGAAGATGCACAGCCTAGGCAGTGATCTTGTTATCATTCCTGGAGGGATGACGTCTGTGTTACAAACCCTGGACGTTAGTATAAATAAACCTTTTAAGGGGGACGTTCAGGCGGAGTACGAAAAATGGTTTTGTGAGCCAAACCGTGTATTGACCCCGAGAGGAAAAATTAAGCGTGCTGCACCGCACATTGTTGCACACTGGGTTTCTGCTGCCTGGAAAAGCATCGAAGCACCAATGATTGTGAAATCTTTCAAGAAATGCTGCATTTCAAATTCATTGAATGGCAGTGACGATGACGTGCTCTGGAACGCCGAGGATGACGATGATGATGAGGAAAGAAGAAATGAATCTGCTTCTGACGAAGAGAGCTGCGAGGATTCCAGTGATGAAAACATTAGTGAATAAAGACGTTTACTATTAATCACTGATTGTAGAAACTGTTAGCTAGATAGAAATGTTACGATTTATTTCATGTTCATATTTTACGATAGGTACCGTATATACGGTAGTGCTAATTAACAATGATTGTTTCACATGACAATAGCCCACTAATAGGTTAATTCTATGTTCTGCTACTTTATGTATAAATCCATTGTTGTATAAAATATGGTATCTAAATTTAAATAAAATTATCATACCATTAATTGATAGTTTATATACAAATCCATTGTTGTATAAAATAAGATTCAATAAATTCCTCATATCATTGATGCGCATTACATTCGCCGACAAACAATTTTTTTATTATTTAAAGTTTTAAAATGGGGATGCGCATTAGATTCGCATAAATACGGTAATGGTCTTCTATTCACGACAAAGAAAATGTATTTTCCAATAAAAATATGCATTTATGTCAATGCAAAAACAGCTAAAAATTTCCGCGAACTAAATATCATCGAAGGAAAACCTTTTCCGGTTGGATCCTCAACCGGAAATCTGATTATTAGCGTCACTGATGTGAACTGATGTCTATAAACATTTTATTTTTAAATGCAAGCAAAATTAACCACGAAATTATAAATATATAAACAAATATTTGTTAACTCAAATGCCATTGCCTTTCACTTGGATTTCCTGTTTTTCAAAGAATATTTTCATTGGGTTGTAAGAGTATCAGTTTTGCTTAAAATTTTAAACTTTAACGTTCTGAATTTGTTATCAGAAAATTATAAAATTTCCCATTATGTATATAATGCATATTTTCACTTCCCTTGAAGAGAGGGAAGGAGAATCTTTTTCAAGAAGAAGCTCTATAAATAGAAAAGAAATAATG